TAATTTGTTACATCTAAATATTCTGTATGTTTTATTTTAGTGCATAGCATGGAAGTCTTCAACAAAATTAGAAATACAGTTTCAAATCTGGGTGCAGTCCTTCCAGGGAATCCAGTAACTCGTGAATTTGAGGTTGAACGACATATTGCCAGTGCTGGTCCTGGCTTACTGTGGAAGATATTTCAAGGGTATAAAAGAAGTACTAAGCAAGTAAGTTTGTGAAGGGTTAAAGTGGGTTAGAACTGTGGAAGATATTTCAAGGGTATAAAAGAAGTGCTACACAAGTAAGTTTGTGAAGGGTTAAAGTGGGTTAGAACTGTGGAAGATATTTCAAGGGTATAAAAGAAGTGCTACACAAGTAAGTTTGTGAAGGGTTAAAGTGGGTTAGAACTGTGGAAGATATTTTAAGGGTATAAAAGAAGTGCTACACAAGTAAGTTTGTGAAGGGTTAAAGTGGGTTAGAACTGTGGAAGATATGTTTTTACAGAAACAGATATTTGTTTAATGCAGTTTGTGTAAAAAAGAGGTGGGAACATGAATTAATATTTAGTTTTATTCTTAAGATAGGCTGCAGTATATTTATGTTATATAGTAACAAAGTTATTTCCATTCTATGTAGGCAGATATTAAAAATATGATACTGAAAATATGTTACTTTGTGACAACATAGCTTATGTATAACACAAGGAGGAAATGTTTTTGTGACTGTATTGGTGTATTACCATACCATATTATAGAGAGTAATAAAATATGCATAACCTGAGCTTTCAAGCCTGCTTGACACTCATCATGTTTTTGGGACTTGTTCTGATTTTTTCAGCTATACTTAGTTATAATTTCATGCTGTTTTGAAGCTCTAAATAATTTCTGTTTTTTCTTTCTCACTAGTTAATTTCTAGTCTTCATATAAGAAAATAAATTATTCAGAACTAGCAGTTCTAACATGAAACTACCGTGTTTGCTAAAAGTTATAGCATATTTCTGTGTATAAAAGTAAATTTGATGTGTTGTAAATTTTTGGATATTTCTTCACAGTTTTATTTATCTTTGATTTTATAATTACAAGTATAATTTGGCTTGAAAATATTTTATAGTAATTATTGCTTCTATTGTTTTTATGGAATATTTTATGTAGAGCTGATCTGTGAGTTAGAGAAATTTTTTCATCAACAAAAGTAATTTATGTTTTATAATTACTCATATTTATTGTATTTTAAGAAACTAAGAATATTTGGTATATATTTTGGAAAATTATTGTGGAAGGACAGTTCAGAAACAATTTATAAAACTTTGAGAGCTCTCGTGAAATGTTTTACAAACGTGACTGACTTTATCACATATGTAATGTGATATATCCATTTCTAGGAGGCAGCTGTTTTTGTTTTAGAAAAAAAACAACTTGAGAGATATTCAAAACGGGATCGTGATGTTATATTAGATATTTTAAAGAAGGGAGTAGCTCAGCTAACTAGACTGCGTCATCCAAGTATATTGACTGTTCAGCATCCATTAGAAGAGTCAAGGTGAGTAAAAATTAGGAATATTTAGATAAACATGAGGTTTGAATTCAGTGCTTTTTTTACTCTTTCATGTATGAGTGCTTCCTAAATGTACTTTAAAGGAACTTTCATAACATGAAAAACTCTGAGAAACTTTATGCTCATTTGTTAATACACTTGTACAAATTTCTACTCTTGCTGTACAGATACCAGAGCTGGCCAGTTAGTTATATTTGCTAAGTTAATAATTGATGGCCTCATTAATCTTATACATTAGATTAATTGATTAGTACACACCTTTTACAACCCTCCACTCTTGTACAAGAAAATAAAAAGGGGTGGGGGTGTACTAGCTTCATAATTTTTTGATCATTGCATTATTCTAACATTGTATTAATCTTACTATTTTTGTACAAATTGTTTTTGCCTTTTTAGGTAATCTTTGAATTACCCTTAATTTCATATAATAGGCTTCTTCTGAAGATCATCATTTGTGCATTTTGTAAAAACATATGTTTTGTATAAAAATATTTTGCCACAGATATTTTAAAAAATAATTTGAACATTTCCTTCTGGGTTAATGAATTGCTAATGTTGAATAAGTACCAGCACATGGTAGCTGTCATGTTTGTTATTAAAATATGAGGTAATCCCACATTGCTTTTCTGTAAATCAAATGAATTGATAATTAAATAGTGTGAATATGTTTTGCTATCCATAATAAGGTTAATAATATGTTTATTTAAAATGTATCACAATTGCAATTAGAAATAGTTAAGTAGCCAGTTAGCACTCGATAATTTAGGTCATTCATGTCTTCTTGTTGAGTAAGTTAATTTTAATCGATCTTTTAGCATCTAGGTTTCTTTAGTTTCAATTTTGTTGTTGTTAACTGGGTGCCTTTTATTTCTCATGTTCTTCAGGGTAGGTTTTATTTTCGTGTCCTTTGTCTTATAGACTTATAATTTTGATATTTAAGGGTCATTTATCTCTTCAGTTCCTTTAATGGTTTGTACTTTAGCTGTTACTTATTCCTTTATGTTTTAGGTTGAATTTCATAGTTCTACAGGTTTGTTATTTTTATGTACTTTGTAGACTCTACATGTTTCTAAATTTTGTTAGTTTCATTAGTAATGAGTACTTTCTCTAAGTTCTATAGTTTGTATCTTTTTAGCTACACTTCACGACAGTTTTATGGTTTATATTGGTTCTATCTGTAGGTTTCTGCTTTCTGTTTCACTCCCCCTCTATCCACTTCCAAGATCTCCTTCACTCCTCCTTGGGACCGTACTTTGTTCAGTCGTCTTGCCAAGTCTGTTCGAGTCCTACTACATAAAGGAGCTATCAAACAGGTGGTGCCCACTGAAACGGGATTTTACTTCCATCTTTGTTTTGTCTCCAAAAACACAGGAGTTTGGGGTCTTATCATCGATCTGTCCTGGCTGGATCCTTATTTGGAGATGCCTCTCTTCACCATGGAATCCTGCCTTTCACTTTGGGGAGTTTTTGCCCCAGTGTCACGTCATTTTTCTTCAGTTCGTCTACAAGGGTTCTGTCTTCCAATTCTGGGCACTACTGTTTTGTCTTTCTTCAGCTCCGTGTGTGTTTGGTCGAGTGGTACACTCTTTTGCACATCATCTTCACTCGCTGGGTCTTTGGACTCACCATTTCATGGACGACTGGCTTCTACTCATCTCTTCCTATCTCCAGTCAGTCACTCACACCCACTTCGAGAAGCTGATTAATCAATCCAATTTTATATTCTGTTTAAATTGAGCCACTAGTATTGTTTTAGCAATACCATGTGCTATTCTAGACACATTCAGTATTGTTGTTTTCCAGCTTTAAATGTATGTATTTCTTAATATTTCGTTAAGCCAAATGACAATTCCTGAAGAGGATTTAATTCTAGCTCCAGTATTATATATTAATATAATAATAATAAATAAAAAAAAAAGGTACAAGATATCAATGTTGTGTAAATCCATTTGTTATGAAAATACAGTGTAATTTTTATCTTATTTATAACCCACATTAAATATGGATGAATTTGAAGATTATTAGTTCATCTGACATTGAATTTCTTCAATTGCATAAATCGAAATTTTCTTTTCATCCGACAAGGGAAAGTTTGGCCTTTGCCACAGAGCCAGTATTTGCAAGTTTAGCCAATCTGTTAGGAAACAATGAAAACATGCCCGTACCACCACCACCTGATTTAAAGGATTTCAAGTTGTTTGAAGTAGAAATTAAATATGGACTTCTTCAGGTGAGCTGTATGTTTAAACTGTTGGTGTAAGGATGTTTAAACAATTATTTAACCGCTTATTGTACAAAAACTGCTATAATTAATGTGGTTATTTGCAGAAGTTATTATGCATCTTTTATTGACTGTTTCAAAATCTGTCTCATGAACCTTTCTTAAATGAAGATACTAATTGTTGAAGTAAGAATGTAGTTGTCAGGTGATAAGCTGCCTTGTTTTATTTGTAAATTGTTTTATTGTCTCACAGGGGATGAAAGTAGAAATTGGGTATCCCTTATACTTTTCTGATTTTAAGGAGTAGGCTTTGTGAACTTGTAATAACATAAGAAAATGTTAACAGAATTTCTAATGAATTGATTAAAGCTGTAGTCAACATGTGAAAGCTACATTTATTTGTTATTGTGTATTTCAGTTGTAAATATTTAAAAGTTCATTTGTTTTTCAGATTGGTGAAGGTCTTGTTTTTCTTCATAATGATGTTAAGATGATGCATCGGAATATTTGTCCAACATCTGTTATCATCAACAAAAGTGGGGCTTGGAAAATTGCAGGATTTGATTTTTCAGTTTCATGTTCAAATCCCAATGATCCACAGGCATGTTATTTCATCCATATGTCATACTTTATATTTAGCAGTTTACAAAATAATAAACACGTTAGATATTTCTCAGAGTTCGTAATAGCATAGACAAGAAACTTTAAAAAAAAGTGACTTTTTATAGAGTTTTTATAGATGATAAAGCTATTATAATAAAGCTTTGAAAACAACAATGTAGAAAATGATCCTCAGTAACTAGTCTTAAAAGAATAAGATTCATACACTTAAATAATACATTGTTAAACCAAAAAAAAAAAACTAGCGGATAGGAACAATATATCATTTTAAAAGAGAGTACTGATGTATCTAGGACATTTTTATATCTTGGCTTCATGATATTAAGTTAAGAGATAATGTATAATTGCAAGTTATACATGTACTCTACCTCTTTCTGTCAGGGATACGTAGTATTAACTATATACAAAATAGTATTGTATGTATTTTTCAGAAGTTAAAAATCTGTTAGCTTCGAGAATCAGACACTGCTTACTATTGTACATCAAGTGATCTCCTAATCATGTAAAAATTTAGGAAACTGTGTTTTTACTATACCAAGAAAAACAATAATCCCTGTAATTGTTATTTGAAGATGCAAATGTATTTCTTTAAAAATTGAATATATTTAAAGTTTTAAATTCTCTGTGTATTTATTCATGAATTTTTGAAACTTACTATATCATGGAATGTTATTTGTCCACTCTACTTCCTTAAAGATTTTTAGTGCCCAAGTGCTTGAAATAGGCCTAATTGTATGGTTATTTGTTGAGGCTACTATATCTATTTTGAACAATTTAATTTGACAATGATTTTCAAACAGAAATAACATTATTTAATTATTTCTATATTTGAAGTTTATTTAAGAATTGGATTATTATGTTAGGTAGTTTCACAGCTACATGCTAGAATATGAGTTTACAAAGAAGTATTATCTTAATGACACATCAACACATCAGAAAGACCACATACTGATAGTGATTGGAATCTTGGCTTAATTTTTATCAAAGATAGACTAATAATCATTTATTAGCATTTTTACAATAAACAACAGTTTAAAATGAGTAATGATCATTTAGGGAGTGTGGCTTTATTAAGATTAAAACAATTAGTTTTAACCCTATTATGTGATGATATTGCAAACGTTTTTGTTTATTTTTTTTGCAGTTGAGGGTCTGTCATTTTTTTTTAAAGATACATTGCATTGGAAGTTTACCAAAATTTTACTATACACATTGAGAAAACTTTAATATATTTTTTAATTACTTTAATGTTTTTACCACACACACAATAAATGAAGCATCTTGTAATATCAGCACTTAGTTTGCTGTAATAACTTGAATTTTAATAATGTTTTATTGGGTAATCATTTATTGAAGTTGAAGTAAGTTTTATCTTATCCATTAGATGCAAAACTGATTTGAGAACTTGCTTATTTTTATATGAGTAAAACATAAACCAATATATTAGTGAAAAAAAAAAGGCTTGTGCAGTATTATGTGCCACATTTAGAATTTATATCTGTAATGATTAGGATGTGTAAAACGAGAGTGTATATGTATTACGTGTTTACTCAGTCATGATGATAATCTAAAATTCCCTTATATAAACTGTAATGCTCAGGAATGGGCAAACATCCTTGCTGGGCTCTCTATCTCTCTCTCTCCTTTTTAACATTTTCAAGAATTTATTAAAATGAAGATCCTAAATTAGGACAGCAACAAGCTCATAAACCAGACAAAATCATAGCAGCAGCTGTTTTTACCTCACAGTATAAGCTTAAAAACGTTAATAAAATAACAACAAATATCTATTAAATCTATAAAGTAACAAATACATATTAATTATTACTCAAATTATTATTTCAGTCATTCTTAATGTATCAAGCATCTATAGGCAAAGAAAAGCCAAAAACTATGTTTTTTATCATTAAATGAAGATATAACCTAAAGATGCTTTATGGCATAACCACATTTCATTCGCCCGGGGCCCCTGGACAGTTGCCCCCCCCCTTGTTTGGAAGAAGTAAAGCAGCAGAAGTTAAATTGGGGTAGTTGAACAGCTGTATTTGGGTTTTGTGTATGGCAACGGGAAGAATTTGTTCAGGAGTGTGTAGCCATGATGTTTTTTATTTTCACCAGCTGAGTTGCTGTTTTTTCTTATTGCAGCCAGAATTTCCTTTTTATGAGTTGGAGGCTGATCTACCACCTGCTGCTCAACCCAATTTGGACTATGTGGCTCCTGAATATGTTCTTACACTAAAATGTGACACAGCAAGTGATATGTTCTCTCTTGGAATGATGGTCTATGCTGTGTTTAACAATGGGTCTCCTATCTATAATAACTGTGGAAATCTCTCAACTTTAAAGAAACATGCAAAGAAGGTGTGTTGTCATATGAAGTGAGACATTTTTGTGAAGTACTAGGATTTGTATTGAAAAATATGACGGTAGTAAATATTGGTATTAAAATTTAGTTAGAAGGAAACCCTTTAAACTGTCATTTTAAATGTTAATGTCTATAGTTTCATACGAATTATAAACTCAAATTACCAATATTTGCAAGCTAGAATATAAAATAAGAGTCTCTTATCTTTTCAGTTTGCTAAGATATTGCTCAAGTAATAAATCAAACACAGTGGCATCCCACTCACCTCTTTTCATTTTTGGAAATGCTCCCTTATATACACTTCTATATATGACATGAATAAGCAATTGGAAGCTCAGAATGTTCTCAGTTCTATTTTCTAAATTGTGTATATATATATAACCATGTAGTATTTGGAAAATCTGTACACAGTTATGAGTGAAAAACTAGTACAAATAGTGTCATTGTGATTGGTTTACTTTTTTTAATGTATTTCACTGTGATGTGTTTTTGTAATACAGTTGCAACAGTTGTCAGCATCAGTATTCTCCTGCTTTCCTTCAGAAGCTAAGGAACATTTCAAAATGTTATTGAATGCAACAGCAGAAGTCAGGCCAGATGCTCATCAATTTTCAAAGGTATAGACCTCTGGTTTATAAAAACATTTTATTCTTAAGTTCAGAAGCACATTAATAAAATGTTTGGAATGAATACAGTTTTTATGTGATTTTTATATTAGTTGTACTTATTTTTTTCCAGTTTCAGTTTTTTGAAGATGTTGGTGTAAAGACACTTCAGTATTTGGATTCTCTGTATCAGTGGGATAATTTACAAAAATCTCATTTTTTCAAAGGACTTCCACAAGTTTTGGCCCAAATGCCAAAGGTATCAATGTTTACTCTTACCATATAATTTTAAGTTTGTTATAACATTAATCTGTGTTGCAGTGTAAGTTGGTATAAATTTGAAGTCAGATTAGTATAGTCACATTATAAAGCAGGAATACAAATGACCAAGTTGTAGGTTAAAAAGTACAGCATGACATAACTGTTATCCTTGGTTTTAGTACAGTTGGCTACTGAGCATTTTGTTCCCAGACATTTTGCTGCTGGTCAGTTTGCTACTGGTCCTTACTTTACTAGGGTATTTTGCTACTAGGTCATTTTGCTACCTGTTCCAGCTACACATAAATAACTCGTTATGGCTCGACAACTAATTGAAGCAGTGGCTGGACAACTATTTGAGGAAAGCCTGAATCATTTTTAAAAAGTTCAGATCTTTCATCATTTTAAATAAATGTTTTACAAAATAAAACCCTTTTTTATTTTAAAGGAGTGTATCTCCAATAAACTAATACTGAAGAAATATTTACTAATATTTTATAATATTTTACTGACTGGAGTGTTTGTCTAATGAACTAATACTGACAAAATATTTTTATTTTATGATCTTAGATAAGATATATAAGTGAGATTCTGACATAAAATTATCGGGTAACGAAATACCCTAGTAACGAAATGACTAGTAGCAAGCTGACCAGTAATGAAATGTTCAGTAGTGACGTGTCTGACTACTGTTATCCTTGTAATGCAACTATCATTATGGTGGATTTATTTCAAGATTTTGTATGTGGTATTCTGTGAATATCTGACATCAAACAGAATTTAGTATTGATGTGGAAGGACTATCAGTATATATGTAGCAAAAATTTTTAAACTAGTGAAAAAATATTAAATAGTTTTATTCCAATAAAAAATTTTCTCTCTCTATATCTAATGTTTTACAAATTTAAATATCTTGTTACTGTTTATTCTGAAGACTATGATTAGATTGTATTGTAAAATCTGAACATAGTTTTCAGGTTGTCTATAACAAAATGTAATTCTGCTGATAAATTCGCATTTTTTAATTGATTTGTAGTATCATCATTTATATGACATTCATAATAATTTATCATGTTTTATATGAAAGCACTATTAGCTTGCAATGTGAAGCCACGAAGATTACTAGTTTTTTCTGTCTTTTGTGTGCAGAATACCTTCACAGTGTAATGTTTGTATCTCTTGTAACACACGAGATAACAGAAAAACAAAATGTAAGCATTTAAGTGTAATCCTGTAACTTTTATTTAAAAAGAAATCTAAGCTGCTCTGTAAGAATAATAATCAAATATTGGACAAGTTATAATTAGTTAATAAACATGTTGTTCAGTATGATGTTATTTTAATCCAAGAAAGCAAATGCAAGATATTATTACAAATGAATGTAAGATTTAATTATTACATAAATACTAAAAATCAGAGTCACAGGGCATAAATATCATAAAGCAGTAAAAGATAAATACATGTAATGCTGTCTGTTTTTGTTAATCAAAATTATAGAAATTGTGTGTTCTAGAATAAAATTTTTTCCTTAATATTTATTCAGAGGGTGGCTCTTCAGCGAGTGCTTCCATGTCTGGTAAAGGAGTATGTAAACCCGGAAATGGTACCTTTTGTTTTACCTAATGTTTTATTAATAGCAGAACAAGTTTCAAAAGAAGAATTTCGTCACAACATTCTTCCTGATCTTATTCCTGTCTTTAAACTTCAAGAACCTGTGCAGGTAAAGAACTCTGAGCTGGTTTAAATGTTTGTGTATATTGTAGTTTCATGGTTGTACTTCCTTCTTTCTTCTAATGTAAGCTATCTTATAAACTTCAAGAACCTGTGCAGGTAAAGAACTCTGAGCTGGTTTAAATGTTTGTGTATATTGTAGTTCATGGTTGTACTTCCTTCTTTCTTCTAATGTAAGCTATCGTATAAACTTCAAGAACCTGTGCAGGTAAAGAACTCTGAGCTGGTTTAAATGTTTGTGTATATTGTAGTTTCATGGTTGTATTTCCTTCTTTCTTCTTATGTAAGCTATCTTATTTTTATTTAATGACGGTCAGTCTTGATACATGGAAATAATTCTGGCATGTAAGCTATATTCAAGCAAAACTCTAAGTTGAGGTCTCTATACCCCTGATGATAGTGTACACTTTCATAATCTGAAACATGCAGTGTCAGTTTTTCTTTTATAGTCATTTTTACCCTTAATGAAATTGTTTTCACTTTTTTTAAATGCTGAGTTGTTTATATTTATATCTTTACCCTTGAAGTCAGCAATTAGATATTACATATCTAGCTTTTTAAGATGACACAAATATGTGAAGTATTTCAAACTGTATTTTTAATGTTTTTTTGTACTGACTGAAGGCACATGTTTCTTTTTAATATATATATATATATATATATATATA